ATCACAATATTCGTTTTTCTAATTATCACACATATACCACAAATCACCCGGACGACAGACCTCACGGTGGCACTGCCATTATCATCAAGTCAAACATAAGACATTACGAGACTGACTACATACAATCGACAAACGATTCAATTGACCTAATGACTCACAAAATTACAGTATCGGCAATCTATTGTCCGCCAAGGCACATTATTACTGAAAATCAGTTCACAACTTTTTTTGCCAGCCTTGGAAATTTGTTTATTGCGGGAGGTGATTATAACGCAAAGCACACATTTTGGGGACCTAGACTAATAACACCTAGAGGCCGTCAATTGTATAATACAATAAATAATAATAATCTTCGGACATTTTCTACGGGTGAGCCCTCATACTGGCCAACTGATTTGCACAAAATTCCAGACCTCCTCGATTTTTTTGTAGCCAAAACTATTAAAAACGAGAGTGTTGAAATAAATTTAAGTCCAGATCTCAGTTCTGATCATTCACCAGTAATTCTTAAATACTCCACTAATACTCCAACCAAAGCCATGAGTTCGCTTACAAACAAATTTACCGATTGGCAACTTTTCCAAGAATACATCGAATACACCATTAACTGTAATATTCCATTAAAAAGTGAGAATGATTTGAATATTGGTATCAACAACTTCACAAATACATTAATTGCAGCAGCTAAAACATCGACTCCTATTCTAAATCACAATCACAGTCACTCTGTGCCCATAGATATTAAAAAAATCATTGCACAGAAAAGGAAATTAAGAAGAATTTGGCAAATAACTAGATCACCGGAAGATAAAAGAAAATTTAACAGTGCATGCAGAGACCTAAAAAATTTATTAATACATTATAAAAATGATTCTTTTGAAAACTACTTACATAATCTTTCTGCAAGTAGTGAAACAAATTATTTTCTTTGGAAAGCAACCAAAAAATTAAAAAGACCAATTGTACCAATTCCTCCTTTAAGACAAACAGACGGTTCATGGGCAAGAAGTCCAGAAGAAAAAACTAATGCATTCGCCGAACGCCTGCGCCTCACATTTCAGCCATTTTCACGTATATATATATATATATATATATATATATATATATATATATATATATATATATATTCTCTTTATTTGTCTTTAGTTCTTTCTTTTTTATATATTAACTATAGTAGATACACCACTGGGCGTATCTACTAATTTGTAAACAATCAATTGTAAACACTCGTCAGCATTCTCTGCTAAATATAATTATTTTTATAGATTGCAGAATGAAAATAAAAAAAAAAAAATGTTTCCCCGACATTTCAAGGCATTCTGAATGAGACCAAATTTGAAAAAAATTATGTGTGTGTGTGTGAACAGATTTTTTGCCGTAAATCGACGTTTTCTCAAAAATGGCTGGACCGATTTCAAAAATTTAAAAGCCATCCGATGCACCTCGATGAGGACTATTGTTTGTCAGTTTTTATAAATAGCAGAAAAATGAAAAAATTTCGTCCACGTTTTAGCCCGCAATTCTAAATCAATTTTGAAAATTCAAAAACCGTTCGAAAGATATTGGTTGGAAATCGACCTGATTAGTTTTTGGTAAAGATCGGCCGGGCCGTTTTCTTGTAATAAAGTGTTGAAAACTTTTTTCTCGACGATTTTTATAATTTTTTTTGACGGTAGATACCATAGTCTTATAGATCATACTAAAATATTACGGCTCTACGACAAGTCGTTTAATTTCAAAAATTTATGAACGTTTGCAAAAACGCCTGAACCGATTTCAGAAGTTTAATAGCCATTTTATGTATTTTAAAAATTCATCAAAGTTTGAGAAAATAAGTAGTCACTCATATATTAATTTATATTTTATTGAATAATTCAATTATTTACAAATATCGCAAAGTTCATGTAATTTTCTTTAAGGCAAAATACCAATACCAACTAGTTTATTTATTGAAATAATTATTGTTATCAAAATTAATTTCCTACTCTCTCAGAAGTAAGGTATAAATTGATAACATCTATGATTGAAATTATGAAACAATTTATTAAATTCAGAATAAAGATGCAAACAAATTTAATTTTAATGTGACAAATAAACTTGTTGTGCTGCTTCCAATTTAGCAATTTTGGGTTCTAGCTTTGTCAGAAGTAATCTTAAATCGCTACGATCGCTTATTGCTTACAGCACCTACATTCTAAATCAAGGGCGAGCAACCTTTTTAACCCGCGGGCCAATTTAAATTTTAAAATTTTATGGCGGGCCGCACGTAATTTATATATACTAGCTGACCCGGCGAACGTTTAGCCACAGAGAATATTTTTAGGAAATCATTAGTAAAAGAAATGACTAACTAATTCTGAATTGAAAATTCTGAAAAATTCAGTTTTCTCTCAAAAACAGTTTTATCTTCATATATAATATTAAATTTCTATTTTTTTTGCTAGAATTGCTCCTTCTGCAAGACAAGTACCGTTAGGATAAGTCTACAAATCAGTTATTTTTATGGGAATTAACCCTTTCGTTGCCAATGTCTAAGAATTGTGTTTAAAATGTTGCAGCGGACAGAGCGGATAAATTTAGGATTTTTTATAAACTCAGAAAATCTTGATCGAATTTCAATTAAAAATGTTCACAAAAATGG